GGTAAGTCGAAGGTAGTTGAAACAAGCTGGGTTGGTAATACAGCCTCATGTAATCGGGAAGCAAAAGTCCAAGTTGAGTTCTTTTCCGAAATACAAAATCTCAGATATAACATCAAAGTAAGCAAATTGATCCAATGCTTTCGGGTGAGTAAATAAACAAGTCTATCAAACAAATAATCACTTAAGTATTGGGCACAAATGCAAAATTGGATGTAAACTTACGGCCTCGGCTCCCGGATCCTTAATTCCATGTTTATGAATAATTAAGCTAAGCCCGAATAAGGATACTGAGCAAGCAAAGAGAATGACAGAAAACAAAAGTAGCGCTGGCTTTGCGATAGTGCAGGGGCGCACAGGGAGGGTCTATAGGAAGTGCAAGAGATAAGGTATACTGAATAAAAGTGAAATAAAAGACACATTTGAACAAAATTTATTAATAAATATCACCAGATCATATCTTGGGTATTGGTTTTCGCCAACAGCGTAGGGTGAGGAAATATCTATTATGCTTAATGGTAACCTCCAGAACAGAAACCCGTCGCACAAGGGGCGAACCATCTTCCATCGAAGATATAAGATCAAGAACATCATTTTCCTGAACTATAAGGCTTTTTTTCAGAACTTTACTACCATTGTAAAGGATCTTAGATTGATAGAAAGCAAGTTCAACGGCTGTCCTAGTCAGATTAAGACCAGAGGACAATACTTTGTCGAAACGAGGCGTTTTGACAGAAACAGAAATATCCCGAAATTGTGAATACGTGGATGGTGGGTGATCTGTTACTCTTTGGCATTCGGAGTAATACTCCGAATCTGTGTCATCTGAATCATAACCAGGTTTTTGAAGTGACTTTTCATTTTTTGAATGCTTATATCTACTCGCAAGCATTCTAATAGACAAGTCGGAGGTAACATCTTTTGCAAATGAAGAAATAGCAAGGCGAAAGGGCTTTAAAGGAGAAATAAATGGAGAGCAAAAGAGGTAAGGGAAGCGGAAAAAGGCACAACGATAAAGCACATAAGGCATGATTAAAAAATAACAAGAGTTCAAATAGCATAGCTAATTTATACTTTAAAGTTAATTTGATTCTTAAAATATTGTTAATAATATGATACTAATAAATATAAATTTTTATTAATGTGATTCTACTTGTGTTAAATTATTGTTTGAGTTACGATATCAACCATCTTAGAGATATACTCCGAGAAAAAATATATTCGCTGTTGGTATGTTCAAATATAAGGAGATAAAACCCATATATTTTTATTATGTTTAATTTAATCTATTTAAGGGGTAAGATACAACCGAATAGTCTTCTTGCCCTAGTTTTAAAATGAGACTTTTACGGGAATGCGACCCGGCTCTAATGATTTCCATCATATGATAGACGAGAGCTTAGCCCGTTTTTTACCCGAAACGAGGGAAGATGTCACGTTTACTGCATCAACCTGAAAGTCGTATAAATGACAAAATGCTGCAGTACAATAGGATTATTACGTCCTCTCTGTGAGATCGACCTACAAATCTATGCTTCCCGAACTTTCATACGAAATGAAAATCCCTCTACCAATTTCCATTTCAATAGTAGCGGTCGCAGTTTTTGAACCAGTTCAGAGGAGAGTAGACATATCAGACATCTTTTTATTTGTTTCCTCTGAGTTTCTTTCATAATCCTTGTCCTGTCATTTGCTCAGTATATATCTTTTTTGAACAAATGGATAAAGACAATATCAGGACATGAGTAAAGGT